ACTCCCTCCTCTTCCTCCATTCTTCTTCTTCTTGAAAGTTTTATGGCAGACTAGACCGTATTACCGCCACCTACTGTACGGGGAATTGAAACAAAACAAAAATAATATCTTCCATTGTGGGAAGAGAGGGCCGAGAAAATACAAAAATAAATTACACAACCATCCCACTCCTTTAGTCACATTCAAATCACATCCCTCAGGAGCCTGTGAGGACGGGGCATTCATCTATCTGTCCTCTGTAGCTCAATTGGTAGAGCACGGCGCTTGTAACGCCAGGGTAGTGGCTTTGATCCCCGGGACAACCCATACGTAAAAATGTATGCACACACTTTGGATAAAAGCGTCTACTAAATGGCATATTATATTATTATCGACAGGATTCCTTGTAATGCCTCTGCAGAAAAGCCCTTAAATCCCCCCCCCCCCCCCCGCACTCACAATGATTCCGATTTCCTCTCCGTTTGCGCTGTGCAGTTGATTACCAAAGTAATAAACGTTACAAAGTACACCTTCTTAACATGCAACATATCAGGATCCCTCTGTTGACAAGGAACATAATCTTGTGTCTCTACTCCTACTACCATTACTTCTTAAACTTCACGCCTTTCTTCCACTCTGGTCAACGCCTCCGGATAGGAGACATTCTGGACAGTCCTTATTCTTGCCACCTCCGTCTCCTTCACTCTAACAGGACACTTCAGAAATTTAGGCATTTAGGCTCAGCTGGCATATAGTACTCCTCCCGTCTACAGACACATTACCAAATCATTTACATTCATCACACTGCATGGGTTTGGGCACGAAGGCTCTGGCTTCCATTCGATGGAGTGACACTGGCCTTGTTCGAGAGGATCAAAACCGTAATGTATCATGGGTAAATTGTGACTGACTGACTGATATACAAATAATAATGAGTAGTTAGTTATGATGCAAGGTTCTTTGTAGATCAGTCATTCGGCAGTCGGCTGCAATTTCGAACAAGCCCTCTGACGCCAAATCAATGGCCACTCGGAGATCAAACGAGGGGGATCGATAAATGCTGCCAACCCATCTGACAATAATGGCTTTGGTATGATGACTACAGTGTTGTTAAACCAATAATAGTCAATACTCTTTGGTATGACCAAAAACACCAGCCTTGTAGGCTTTAAATAAGCCTGGTTGGCTATAGGCACTTATTAACTGTATTTTTAGTAGGTGGCCTGCTCTTGGATTCAATAAAGTAGATTACAAAGGAATTAAAGTAGGCCTAGTGACCAAACCAACACAAAGAGTATAATGTTTATATTTATTTCCATGAATGTCATCTTGTATGTTCAGTGCCAACTCTGTAGGCTATACTTTTAATAGAGCCTATGACTGCAAAAACAATTCTGAAGTGTTTTTGTACCAATATTTTAGGTAGTCTAGGCCTACCGGTATCAGAAATCTGGATCTATGGAGTCTGCTGCCTGTTAGTGGTAGATCTGGTTGACATATTAACCCTCAGCCCTGGGCCCCAAGTCTTTCATGTGTCAAATGACAGGGAGTAAAAGGAGCTAAACAGACTGGTACCCAGGCTAGCCTATATGGCCCTGATATACACTGAGTGTACAAAACATTAGGAACACCTTCCTAATATTGAGTTGCACCCCTTTTGCCCTCAGAACAGCCTCAATTCGTTGGGGCATGGACTCTACAAGGTGTCAAAAACAATCCACAGGGATGCTGGCCCATGTTGACTCCAATGCTTTCCACAGTTGTCAAGTTGGCTGAATGTCCTTTGGGTGGTGGACCATTCTCGATAAACATGGGAAACGGTTGAGCGTGAAAAACCCAGCAGTGTTGCAGTTCTTGACACAATCAAACCGGTGCGCCTGGCACCTACAACCAGTGGATCATAGCTTTCACCTGGATTCACCTGGTCAGTCTATGTCATGGAAAAAGCAGGTGTTCCTAATGTTTTGTACACTCAGTGTATATTATACTGTAGATGCTTAGCGGAATCCTTGGGACGTCCCTACCCTAACCCTAACTTTAACAATAACCCTTACTTACCTAACCCTTACCTTTACATTTCTACTTCGTTGGGGTGATGTCAGAGTTGGACCTCCCAAGGATCCCTCTTAGACTTTTCCTAAATATTTCCACTTAAGACTATTCCTAAAGGAGTATAACATCCTGTGCCACATTCCCCTTAGACTCGGCCGGCCAAATGCATTTCATTATAGCCTGGGGAAGAGGTTACATCCTCCTCCTCATTTCATATCCAGCAAAATGTTTCACATGAATCTCATCCGTGGGGAAATAGAACATTGGTGCTACTTTTGTTCTGATCCCAGTACTATAGGATTGGGCGACCAACATTTTCAGACAGGTAAAGATCCATGAGTCCATGACATCGTCTCACCAACCCATTCAAGTATGATTTCATAGACTGCTAGTTCAACAGCTTGTTTGTAAAGGAAAACAACTGCTGTAAGATTGCCTTTACAGAACATAAGAGGAGAATTCACCTCCTTTTCTGAAACAGTTTAAATTGTTTCTCCTCTCGACTATGTACATTATTTCAATGGTGAGCAAGAAAATACGTTATGCTTGTGTGATACTTGTTACCGTTCCCTGTTTATATAAGGAATAACAAATGGTTAATACCATTATTTTATGTTACCTGCATCTCATTAATTTTGACTGTATTTGTTTTAGCATCTGATCTGGACTGTGCAAGCAGTTGAAGTCAGCAAAAGGAGATGAGTCATTGTTTGAACTGAGATGTGTATATACAGTTGAAGTCGGAAGTTTACATACACTTAGGTTGGAGTCATTAAAACTTGTTTTTCAACCACTCCACAAATATCTTGTTAACAAACTATAGTTTTGGCATCTACTTTGTGCATGACACAAGTAATTTTTCCAACAATTGTTTACAGACAGATTATTTCACTTATAATTCACTGTATCACAATTCCAGTGGGTCAGAAGTTTACATACACTAAGTTGACTGTGCCTTTAAACAGATTGGAAAATTCCAGAAAATTATGTAATGGCTTTAGAAGGCTCTGATAGGCTAATTGACATCATTTGAGTCAATTGGAGGTGTACCTGTGGATGTATTTCAAGGCCTACCTTCAAACTCAGTGCCTCTTTGCTTGACATCATGGGAAAATCAAAATAAATCAGCCAAGACCTCAGAAAAATAATTATAGACCTCCACAAGTCTGGTTCATCATTGGGAGCAATTTCCAAACGCCTGAAGGTACCACGTTCATCTGTACAAACAATAATACGCAAGTATAAACACCATGGGACCACGCTGCCGTCATACCGCTCAGGAAGGAGACGCATTCTGTCTCCTAGAGATGAACGTACTTTGTTGCGAAGAGTGCAAATAAATCCCAGAACAACAGCAAAGGACCTTGTGAAGATGCTGGAGGAAACAGGTACAAAAGTATCCATATCCACAGTAAAACGAGTCCTATATCGACATAACCTGAAAGGCCGCTCAGCAAGGAAGAAGCCACTGCTCCAAAATCGCCATGAAAAAGCCAGACTACGGTTTGCAACTGCACATGGGGACAAAGATTGTACTTTTTGGAGAAATGTCCTCTGGTCTGATAAACAACAATAGAACTGTTTGGCCATAATGACCATCGTTATGTTTGGAGGGAAAAGGGGGTTACTTGCAAGCCGAAGAACACCATCCCAACCGTGAAGCACGGGGGTGGCAGCATCATTTTTTATTTATTTTTATTTCACCTTTATTTAACCAGGTAAGCCAGTTGAGAACAAGTTCTCATTTACAACTGCGACCTGGCCAAGATAAAGCAAAGCAGTGCGATAAAAACAACACAGAGTTACATATGGGGTAAAAAACATAAAGTCAAAAATACAACAGAAAATATATATACAGTGTGTGCAAATGTAGCAAGTTATGGAGGTAAGGCAATAAATAGGCTATAGTGCAAAAATAATTACAATAGTATTAACACTGGAATGCTAGATGTGCAAGAGATTATGTGCAAATAGAGATACTGTATCATGCTGTGGGGGTGCTTTGCTGCAGGAGGGACTGGTGCACTTCACAAAATAGATGGCATCATGAGGAAGGAAAATTATGTGGATATATTGAAGCAACATCTCAAGACATCAGTCAGGAAGTTAAAGCTTGGTCGCAAATGGGTCTTCCAAATGGACAATGACCCCAAGCATACTTCCAAAGTTGTGGCAAAATGGCTTAAGGACAACAAAGTCAAGGTATTGAAGTGGCCATCACAAAGCCCTGACTTCAATCCTATAGAAAATGTGTGGGCAGAACTGAAAAAGCGTGTGCGAGCAAGGAGGCCTACAAACCTGACTCAGTTACACCAGCTCTGTCAGGAGGAATGGGCCAAAATTCACCCAATTTATTGTGGGAAGCTTGTGGAAGGCTACCCAAAACGTTTGACCCAAGTTAAGCAATTTAAAGGCAATGCTACCAAATTCTAATTGAGTGTATGTAAACTTCTGACCCACTGGGATTGTGATGAAAGAAATAAAAGCTGAAATAAATCATTCTCTCTACTATTATTCTGACATGTCACATTCTTAAAATAAAGTGGTGATCCTAACTGACCTAATACAGAGAATTTTACTAGGATTAAATGTCAGGAATTGTGAAAAACTGAGTTTAAATGTATTTGGCTAAGGTGTATGTAAACCTCCGACTTCAACTGTATGTAGAGAAGAGGAAGCTGTTTCATATCACCTGACTGACTGAGTGCCTCCTGCCTTTTGGAGAGCACAGGCCTATTCAGCAGCCTGTTCAGTGCACGCACACACACACACACACACACCTACGCACGTACATACACACACACACTACATACTCAGTCTCTTATGGTAAAATATGCCTCCTTCTGGACAGCCACCCTTGAGTTAGCCTCTTCCATAGCCTTCCCTCAATCCTTTCATAGTGTTTCCTCCGTGGCCTGGGTGATCCTGGCATCTGCTTTTCTCAGAGCCCTGTGCCTCCAGAGCAGAACAGCCAGTGAGAGGAGCAGCAGGAGCCCCAGGGCCCCTCCGATCAGCCCTGCTTTGAGGGCCAGACTGCTGTCTCCAGGGGGCTCGTACATCGTACAGGACCGCCTCTGACGCTCGCTGAATCCTGCGTCATTCACCGCCACCACACACACCTCCACCCCCTGCCCCACCTCCCCCACAACACCACTCCTCTGGTCTTCCCCAAACACCAGGGGCTCCAGGGCGCCCACCACCACCTCATAATGGGTCACAACAGACGATGGTGCACACCACTGAATAACCATCTCTGACCCTTCCATAGACAGTCTCTTTAGGTCGGGAGGCTCTGGGGCCACTTGGGGCCCACTCACCCCTGGACACAGGCAGCCGCTGGAGGCTGCCAGCTGGGCACAGGGGGTCTGTAGCTCCCGGCAGGGGTCATAGTCACAGGACTGAAGATTGGTGCCCCGTGAGGGAGAAGGCGGGGGTGGATTGGTGTCCCAATTCGGGTCGTAGTCATCATCTGAGTAGAGCTCCAACATTTTGTACATGCGTCCGCTTGGCCTCAGAGGAAGGGTGTCTGTGTAGTTGGTCTCTGACACGTCAGAGGGTGCAGCGAAGGAGGAGGAGCCATTGAGGAGGGCCAGTATGAGGATTATGAGGGGAGGTGGAGGATCCCAGTGGGTGGACATGGCATCTGAATATGATAGAAAATAACATTCCATTACAGAGGGTTTGACAAATGATCTGCTTATGAAACAGGCTAAATTTGGTTGGAGACATACCAAGCACTAAGTCTGTCAGACCTTTACAAAATATTCCAAATGTGTTGTTATTCTTAACAGTTTGTGAAGAAGGCTTGATTTCACCTTCATGGGATATTGTACAGCTTAATCGTCAAGTTCATTTCATTCAAACCTTTTTAGAAATCAGACCAGTGCAGTTGACTGTACTGTGTGGAAGTGGTAGCAGGCACCACCCTCATTTGGGATTTAAAAGAACAACAACAAAGTCATCTGAAACCCAAAGATTACATTTATTTATAAACCGACATAGACACACAAGAAAAACGGATCCCGCAATTAATTCCCGGCATACATGAATGGGTAAAAGGCAGAAATCTTAACATCAAATTCAGTGTTATTCCTGATCCTTATCGATCGTTTCTCATGATTGATATGGCCATGCAAAAGTTATACAGCTGCCCTATCATGTTGAACATTTTGGGAATATTGTGAAGCACTGGTGCGTAAATCTAACTAGCAGACTCTATTGCACAATTGGTCAGAGCCAGGCTTTACACACACAGCACCTCCCTGTCAGCTGCTTCCAGTTACAGCAGAGCTGCCAGTGCAATCTCCACAAGATTTTATACAAAAACAGCATATCTACCTGACAGATGCCCTAAATAAACAAGTATGGATGAATAAACATACTAATACTAACAGCAAACAGTACACACCAAAAAAACGTAGGTAAGGTTTAGAAGAACTACACTAACAGTGAGAGAGAGACGACCCGCCTCAACACAACTGTATGCCAGTAGTTAATGAGTTAGATGTGTGTCAATAGACTTCAAGAAGTTGTAGACACATGTTCTCTTTAGCAATTCATATAGAATAAGGAATAGACAATCATTTTAGATTGATGAAAATGTTTAAAAAATATGTGTTCACCTGATAGTCGATAGGCCTTTATCGCTTTTGAAATGTTCTCTCGCTTTCTGTTCTTTTACTCTCTCCCCCTCTTTTTATACATTTTTCCAAACTCCCCAACAATCCCCTCCTTCTTTTCTCCCTCCCCCATACCCCTTCTCTGCTTTCTCTGCCCCCCTCTCCACCTCTCTCTCTCTGTTCCATGGTGGTTTGACAATGTGTGTGTGTGTGTGTGTGTGTGTGTGTGTGTGTGTGTGTGTGTGTGTGTGTGTGTGCCTCTCGCGTGCTACCCCTGTATATGAGGTAACTGCCAGTGCAGTCAGCTGCAAACCACATGAACTCCTATTGCATTCCATTGATGTGCATTTTTTTCCAGAGCAAACCCTGTTCATTAATGAGACTCTTTCTGCCTGTTACCCTAACAGTGAATGGATGGGGGTGATTCTGTCTGCTGCCCAGCCTTATTCACACACATCTCTCACCCTCAGACACGCGCCAGTACTTCCCAACCCTTCTGCTCAATGGCTCACCCCACCTTCTCCCCCTTTACTGGCTGTATGACTGTCCCAAACACTGTCTGGTTAAGAATGTTCTACATGGATATGCTGTCATCAAACATGGAGGAGGCAAGTGTTCAGTGGTTGAATGATGTCAGAGTAAGAATTAGACTGGACTGGGCACCCCCACATGCTGCTCTGAATCAAAGCTCAACAGAAAATAATAGTTACTTATTTACACTGAAGAGAGGCTGAGCTTTACTGTCAAGAGAAAGCAACACATTGAAACAGTTGCAACAGCTGGACAAGAGAAGGATAAGATAGAATAGCAAATCAGGTGTATTGATTTCTTCACATATTTGGAATGACTCTTAAAAAACTAACAAAAACAAAAAGTTAACTAATGCCCCTATAGGGCTGAGATTGCACAGGCGCTAAAATGTTTTGTAAGAATTAGTCAGGGCAGATGGAATGTGAAAATACGTAGCTGGTGAAAATGGAATTCTCTTGCTGTGTGACTAAGAAGCATTAGGAGCTTTACAATGGTTACAGATGATCCCAGTTCTCTCTTGCCCACTTCCTCCGTTCTTGGGTGCCTGCAATGTCTAGAGACACTGTTGTAGTCAGTAACTTGCTAGCCCTGTGCAATAAAATCAGTTAAATTACAAAAATGTGAATTCCAAAGGTCAACCTCAATAAGCCTTATTAGTGTGCCATTACACTCTGAGCTCAACACACCAGTGTTCAACATAAGTGCACTTTCTGCAGGGTTGTGAGGTGGGGCTTTTTGCAGAGGCTTACTTTGGCATGTTAGCAGTGATGTCAAGACTGTGAGTGCCAGCTTCCACCTCTCCCCAGTTTTATAACCTCATGCTCTTTGCCCTCATCCCTTTTCTCTGTCCACTCTCATCCTTCCTTCCTCTTTCTGTCCATCTGCTCCACAACCGCTTCCTCTCTGTACTCCTTCCTTCCTTTCTCCATCTCCCTCTTCTTTCTCCACATCTGTTTACAGTTACATGGTGTGGTAATAGGGGCAGGGACCAGCTGTCGGGAAAACCAGCCCGTATGTCATATCCTGCATTTCTGAGCGGTTGCTAGGATCATAGCAGCGCACTAACCTAGACACTTTGCGTCAAAATCCTTGAAATGATTATTATCACTAGTCTCCGTGTTTGTTCAGTAGGGGTATTTTCTTTAGAAAGAAAGGTTACTAGGTAATACTGAAGATTGAAGTGAGTAGCCTGACATCTGGCTGGATGTGGAATTGCTCAACAGGGTGGAATACACAAGCTGTCATAGAAACTTCCTCCTGTCCAAGAACATAGGCCAGACACTGCTTCATCACGTACACAGTATTGCCATACAGTGCATTCGGAAAGTATTCAGACCCGTTGATTTTTTCCACATTTTGTTACATTACAGCCTTATTCTAAAATTGATAAATTGTTTTTTTTACCTCATCAATCTACACACAATACCCCATAATGACAAAGCAAAAACTGGTTTTTAGAAATATCACATTTACATAATTATTCAGACCATTTATTTAGTACTTTGTTGAAGCACCTTTACAGCGATTACAGCCTTGAGTCTTCTTGGGTATGACGCTACAAGCTTGGCACACCTGTATTTGTGGAGTTTCTCCCATTCTTCTCTGCAGATCCTCTCAAGCTCTGTCAGGTTGGATGGGGAGTGATGCTGCACAGCTATTTTCAGGTCTCTTCAGAGATGTTCGATCGGGTTTAAGTCTGGGCTCTGGCTGGGCCACTCAAGGACATTCAGAGACTTGTCCCGAAGCCACTCCTGCGTTGTCTTGGCTGTGTGCTTAGGGTCGTTGTCCTGTTGGAAGGTGAACCTTCGCCCCAGTCTGAGGTCCTGAGCCATCTGGAGCAGGTTTTCATCAAGGATCTCTCTGTACTTTGCTCCGTTCATCTTTCCATCGATCCTGACTAGTCTCCCAGTCGCTGCCGCTGAAAAACATCCCCACAGCATGATGCTGCCACCACCCTGCTTCACCGTAGGGATGGTGCCAGGTTTCCTCCAGACGTGACGTTTGGCAGCCAGGCCAAAGAGTTCAATCTTGGTTTCATCAGACCAGAGAATCTTGTTTCTCATGGTCAGAGTCCTTTAGGTGCCTTTTGACAAACTCCAAGCGGGCTGTCATGTCCCTTTTACTGAGGAGTGGCTTCCGTCTGGCCACTCTACCATAAAAGCCTTATTGGTGGAGCGCTGCAGAGATGGTTGTTCTTCTGGATGGTTCTCCCATCTCCACAGCGGAACTCTGGAGCTCTGTCAGAGTGACTATTAGGTTCTTGGTCACCTCCATGACCAAGGTTCTTCTCCCCCGATTGCTCAGTTTGGCCAGGCGGCCAGCTCTAGGAAGAGTCTTGGTGATTCCAAACTTCTTCCATTTAAGAATGATGGAGGCCATTGTGTTCTTGGGGACCTTCAATGCTGCAGACATTTTTTGGTACCCTTCCCCAGATCTGTGCCTCAACACAATCCTGTCTCGGAGCTCTATGGACAATTTCATCGACCTCATGGCTTGGTTTTTGCTCTGACATGCACTGTCAACTGTGGGACCTTATATACTGTAGACAGATGTGTGTCTTTCCAAATCATGTCCAATCAATTGAATTTACCACAGGTGGACTCCAATCAAGTTGTAGAAACATCTCAAGGATGATCAATGGAAACAGGACGCACCTGAGTTCAATTTCGAGTCCCATAGGAAAAGGTCTGAATAAATAAATTTGCAAACATTTCTAAAAACCTGTTTTTGCTTTGTCATTATGGGGTATTGTGTGTAGATTGATGAGCTTTTTTTTTATTTGATCAATTTTAGAATAAGGCTGTAAAGTATCAAAATGTGGAAAAAGGGAAGGGGTCTGAATACTTTCTGAATGCACAGGGTTTGATTTACTCAGAATGAAAGACTCAATCTGAATGCTAACAGTAAGAAAAGCCAAGACAGCAGACACTCACAGAAGTGAGTAATATGACCAGTCAGTGTTAGGGCTGAATAATTACTAGTCAGGGCTGGGATAGAGCTTTGATCAGGTATTTTGCAAGAAGTAGTCTGTCAGAGTAATTTGCAGAATGTTTGCGGGTCTAGTCAGTGTTAGTTCACAGTTAGACAGGAGAGGTGGACTGTTATTGTAGCTAATGACCAATTTATTGAATGTTGACAGGCTCCTTCCTCCAGTCTCACCTAGTCCAGTCAAGTTGAATCACTCCAGAGCTTGTTCCTGGTGTCTGCCTGTGCCGGCCACAAAAACCACAGCTACTATTTGGAATGGATTCACATCAGACTGAGTGATCAGTCACAGAGAGAGGGACAGGGGCATGGGGTTGGCCGCTTCTTACTGAGTGTTGATGTGCATGTTTGAGTCTCTGCGCTTGTCTCTGTGTGTAAGTTGAATGTACCATTCCTTTATGCATTTCGGTATATGACCTCCAGGTGTCTCTTTAGTCACCAGTTAGGGGTGAGGAGAGTAGAACCAGAGAAAACCTATGGCTAATTAGATATTAGCTCAACTAATTATGAATACTCCACAAATGCACACATCAAAGCCACATAGAGGGAGAAAAAATAACTTAGGGGGAAAGAGAGCTTTTGAACACCAGGGCTCTGTGATATTTTCAGAGGCATTCCATAATGCAAATATCCCACTGGACAGAATTAATCACCTTAACATTTTTAATAATCACATACCACACAGCCATGAAGTGAAGGGCTTTGGCTCGGGTTACATAAAGCCCCACAAGGCTCGGTGATGTCACCTGCAGCTTTCACCATGCAACACAATGTCATGACAACTACTGAGAATGCACTAGTAGATGTCATGACATTGTCTTGTTGTTGCATTCTCAGTAGTTGTCATGACATTGTCTTGTTGTTGCATTAGTGAGAATGCAACAACAAGACAATGTCATGACAACTACTGAGAATGCAACAACAACACAATATCATGACAACTACGGAGAATGCAACAACAATACGTCATGACAACTACTGAGAATGCAACAACAATACAATGTCATGACAACTATTGAGAATGCAACAACACAATGTCATGACAAATACTGAGAATGCAACAACAACACAATGTCATGACAACTACTGAGAATGCAACAACAAGACAATGTCATGGCAACTACTGAGAATGCAACAGCAACACAATATCATGACAACTATGGGGAATGTAACAACAACACGTCATGACAACTATTGAGAATGCAACAACACAATGTCATGATAAATACTGAGAATGCAACAAGACAATGTCATGACAACTACTGAGAATGCAACAACAACAGAATGTCATGGCAACTACTGAGAATGCAACAACAACACAATGTCATGACAACTACTGAAAATGCAACAACAATACAATGTCATGACAACTACTGAGAATGCAACAACAAGACAATGTCATGACAACTACTGAGAATGCAACAGCAACACAATGTCATGACAACTACTGAGAATGCAACAACAACAGAATGTCATGACAACTACTGAGAATGCAACAACAACACAATTTCATGACAACTACTGAGAATGCAACAACAATACAATGTCATGACAACTACTGAGAATGCAACAACAAGACAATGTCATGACAACTACTGAGAATGCAACAACAACATAATATCATGACAACTACTGAGAATGCAACAACAAGACAATATCATGACAACTAC